ATCATCAGCATCATGTGTGTGTGTGTGGCCCCCACTGTTGCAACCGCTCCCAAAAAAAAAACAGCCCAAGAGCCCAAAACAATTGTGGCTAATGCGATCCAGCGATTGCTCTTTGTTACGATTACGAGCATTTGATTTGTGGCTGCAGGGAATCCAATTGTTTGCCTTTGATTTGTTGAAAGAAAGCTGCAGCCATATCCATTGTATGCTGCCCTCATGCTGGGATGACGATTAATACGCAATTTTCTATATCAAAGCAAAATGTCATTCGACAGTAGACCAGTTGGAGTCGCACACGGTAGCAATTCCAAATCCCATATTTCGAGACCAGACCCCATAATTTACAATTAGCGCTGTGTGTGTGCCGCCACTCACCCAGTGATCTCCATTGATAACATTTAGCGGGGATGACAAGAGAAATTGTTTCTCGATTTTATTTATTTGTGTCATTGCAAATATTGATTTCATATTTTCTTCATTTGTTGCAATGCTTTCGAGTTTGCTATTGTTTGCAAATCGATTTCGGTAATTGTAAAAAATGTATTTCAAATATTGATCTGCTCTAATTTTGTGAATGGGTGAATGGTGGTATTGCTGGTGCTGGGTTACCGAATTCCGCGTTTTCAATTCATCAAAAAATATTATACAATCCGTTAGCTGTGGGGCATACAACACGATCGAATGAGTTGGTTCTTTTTTTTATTCGGAGAAGAGTTTGCATAACGAAAACTATCTTTCAAAGTTGACTGAACTTTTAGCAAAATAGTCGAAGACTTAATTTATACATCCACCAAACCAATTGATTTGCATTTTAGGCATGCTTCAACATTCAGCATATATAAACATAAATGCTTAAATATGTATATTCAAATAGAAACCTGACTTTTGGTGTGAAAATTTTAAGATAAACGAGAGATGAAACACAAGTCTTGACAGCAGAAGCTACCGTTAGCCCACAGGGGAGACTGGAAAAATCTCCCATGCACACATATATTAGCCATGATTAATTGAAAGGTCAACTGGCCTGGCCGCCAGAGAAGTGCGTGAAGTGCTGGCCATAAAGATATCAAAACCTGAAAATGCACACAAAAATTATTTGCGTCTCTTCTGAAAATCGTATTCATATAATTGGAATGGCCTTCAAATGTAGCAAAAGTAATGGCCAAAAGGATCCAAAACGGGTTGCCGAACAATTTATAAAAATTAGACAAAGAATTGCATAAAATATTAAACTTTAATTAGCGGCAACGGCAACCGTCAGTGAAGCATTTGTAAAACGTCTGCCAATAATATAATTAATAAGTAGGTAGAAGTCAGGCACACCACAAAAAGGTCATTAAGTCGACCTCAACTCGTGGAAGACATCATTTTTTACATAGAACAACAACGCGATAGAAGTGCTTTTCGCCATGAATTATAAATTTATGCTAGAACATTAATTTAAAGACTCTGGGTTGAAATTTCGCCACACAGCCCAGAAGATTTATGAAATCCAACGAGACATGGCATAAAATTAGCCAAAAGAATGGTCAAATGTGTGGATGTGAATGGCTGCTGTGCTGTGGCGAGGGCAAAAGCACCATTTGGCAGAGGAAACCTTTCTATTTTCTATAAGACTAATTTATGTTGCCACTGACAGCTTTATTTCTATAATTATTATGTAAGAAGGCAACAGAAGAAAACCTATTAATATGGAATTAACAAAGTTCTTTCGAATATAAAAAGCGCAAACGAACAACTGACGCAAGAGTCTTTTTGCATCTAAAAGATTACACAACTTCTGCGCATAACTTTTGCCTGTTTTCTATTCTTAAAGATGAGGTAAAAGTTCTTCTGCAAAAGATTATTGAAAGAGAAAGAATAATCTGGAAGAAAAGGTTCTTCTTTGAATAAATATTTTCGCTTCTTTCCAAAAGATTTTGTTGAAGCATTAAAGTTTCTAGAAGTGAGAGAAAAAGTTATCTTATGATTAATTGAAGGGTAGAGTAGAGAACTTTCCTTGGTTGGTTTGCGTGTTGGTGAAAGTGCCAAGGCGAGAGTTGTATTAAAAGTGAATTTCTCTAAGCCTAAGTCCAAGCTTTTTTCACTCTTTCAGGAAGCATCTATTGCAAAAATTCAAATCACGCCAATCTGTTAAAGGGAATTGCAAAACCGCCAGTGTTAAACCGCCAGACAGGTGTTTGTTTAGAGAAAAGGTTTAACTTTTTTTTTATTTATTTTTTTTTTGCCTTGCTTTTCCTGTCAGCTAATTTCCCTGACGTCTGTGTGGGGTCTCTGTGTCTGCCGTTGAAGGCTGCCGCCAGCTGTCATTGGATTCGCCTGGCCTGGCCTGGCTTGGGGGCATTGCATATTGCTCCTTAAAAGGGTATAGTACTGGCAGTTCTGGAAGTGCACCTCATTGACAACATTGACTTGGATTGGATGCAATTATGTTGAGTGCATGTTTAGCTTTTATTTTTTTGTTTCGCCTTTTCGCTTTTTTTTTGTGTGGTAGTTGATGTTGTGGCAAGTTGTTGTAAATTTGGTTATAAAACAAACACAAATGACATTATTCGCACGAAAGGCAGGCAGGCTGCAGGATGGCAGCTGTTGTCGCACGACTTTCCTTAGCTTCTTCGGCAGAGGCAACCAAACCACTCCTGCACCGCCAGTACCACCAGCACTCCAACTCCTACCAACAATCAATTCGACAGCAGCGACGACGACATTTGCGCAGGCGCTCAGTCGCTCAGTCGCACAGGCGCCTTTTGTTGCGCTTCAACTTCCGGAAATCACGTTGTAATGTTGGGATTTTTCTTAGCTTTTCTTTGCTTTTGTTAAGCCAAGGAATGGAATGGGTCAGAGGCACAGAGGCAAAAGAAATGTGCACGCGAGCAAAATTACAAAATGCTCAACAGTTAACATAAAATTTGTTTGCTTAAAGTTGTTAAATTTTTTCAATTATGCAAAAATAAAATTTTAACACAATCTTGTGGTGGCGTCGACTGATGGTGGGTGAAATGAAGACATGAAGACACGACAGACCAAAAAAAAAACAAAAGTAGTTTGGAGATGAGAGTACATTTTCGAGGGGTTATGAAATTGGCCAGCTAGCCATTCACCTAGGAAAAGGGTCGGTATGGACGGGGAAAATGGGAATACCCCGAAATGGTGTATACACAACCAATAGATTTTCGTGAAAATCCCCAATTTTTAGTCATGTCTCAGCACTTTTTCATAGTTCTTTTTTAGTTGATTTCACTCAGAAATCTTCACAGTCAATCAAAAGTTAATAGGATTCTTCTACATGGCAGATAGATACTCCGCCGAATAATCGACTGTCTAATGCGAATTTAATTGATGGCCAAACTACCGAAAAATCATTGTAAAATGCCTCGCACGCCAAATTGACACCTTGTCGAGGGCACTGGCACTCCCAATATCCCCCCATAGAGCGGCGGATCTCTAATGTCAGACAAAAAAAAAAAAAAACAGTCTGCGGGCCTCATCCGTGCCACCTAAATCATAGCAGAGAAGAGCCAAACCGAACCGTAGACTGCAATTTGAAAAAAAAATTCTTTTGATTTATATGTACGAAGACACCGAAATGGCCTTCCCAAGTGGCAATCAATTCTGGGCTGCCGAGCCAAAGCCACAACTAGATTTGGAGCTTAAGCGAGAGCCAGACTGAGGCTGAGACCCAAAGACTCAGAGACTCATAGCCAGAGGCATGGAACCCCCGTCTGCACGTGTTGACTCCCAAGTTAAAGTCGATGATTTAACTCGACTCGTTACCTCTCAACGCCATTTGACCCCGCAGCAATTGTGTGGTAGCCACGTTTCCTCGACAGTCGAGACTCCAGTTCACCCGCTTGGGCCTATTCATTTCTTTGGTTATCAAAAAGCCAACGATCTCCACAATATGTTTTCTATATGCCTCATTTTCTGCACAAATCGCTTGACCTTAAGCGTTTGCTTGTAATTTATTTGTCGTTGTCGTAATTTCCCACACAGACACATAAACACAAACACAACTCTGTCTGTTTCGTTTCGTTTCTTTCTTCTCTTAGAAGCTGTTAACTGTATTACGTTGATTTTTCACTAGTTTTCACGGGGGAAGAGGCTGGGGGCTGGGGGCTGCGACTGCTTTTGTAGGTTATTGTGCCTGGTTATGTAATGTCTCCGACGCCGCTTTGCCATTGTTGGATTTTGCCCTGAGCTTTAGGTTTTTCTTTCTTTAGCTTTAGGGGGAGTCAGATATCACAGTGAGAGAGAGAGAGAGTGGGGGGATGGAGAGGGTCGGGTCTTATCAGTACACAAGGTAAATTTACCAGGCAGAGGGATTGTATAACGCAGTAGCTGGCTGGCGGGGCATTTAATTGATTGTAAGCCACAGATTGGAGGAAATCGAATTTATTAATCTACAATTGCATTGCTTAATTTTCATTAATCATTGCTCATTTATATAATATACGTATACGTATATACCCCCTGTCCCTAATCAAATTACAGTCCCATGCATCGTCTCCATCATGTATAACGCTTCCTGACTAATGAAGTGCCAGTGCCAGTGCCCGAGTCAGAGTCAGTTTCTGTCTCTCGGGGGAAACATCTTCATTAGCACTGACTGACTGAGTGATGTGTATGGCCAGAGAAGAGATGTGTTGAGGCCTTCACCAAAAGGGAAGAAATGTGTTGAAGCTCCTACAACATGGAAGAAATGTGAGGAGAGAGTCGTCGTCGAAGCCCCTAGGTGCAAATGGATAAATGCGCTAAAGAGTCGAGTCTCCCCCTACGACTTTGCCGCCCATTTAAGTGTCCAATAATTCAATCACATCCAACGCCATGTTGATGGGCACCAAAGTGCTGTTAAAGAGTTTCAATTACACCAATTTCCAATCGACTTTGGGAAAGTTGAGAGCCCATCATGAGAAAAGCTAAATCAAAGCAGGCCCTGAAGCACTTACAATTTCTTTGATAAATATTTAGTAGGCCAGGATTTTTGTAAATACATTTTCCAGTCATTCAATTTGGTTCGTCGAGCCAGTCAACAATCTTTCGGTCTTAAAATTTTTGTTTGGAAACAAACAAAATTTCGGTAAAATATGAAAATCGAAATTTAAATTTAAAAGCAAACTGAAAACTAAATCGTAAAAACTATTTTGAGTTGTTTCTAGTTGAGAACGTATTAAGGAATACAAAACTATACAAAACTTTCAAAAAAAATTAAATACTTTCAAAAATTCCTTCTTCTTTTGGCGAAGATCAAAATTCAACTGCTCAATGGATCTTTCGAAGGCCGAAAGGCAAACTCCCGAAGAGGACAATAGGCAAAGCGGCGCGGACTATGTCAAGGGACTCCTTCAGGACTTTCTGTTCTTCCTGGTCCTCATATTTGCGGCTCTGCTCATCGGCTGGGGCATCTTCTTTGTGCTGGACGATGGCGGCGAGTGGAAACATGTGGTGCGGGCTCTCAATGGTTCGGAGATAACACTTCAGGAGCCAACGACGGTAGCAGCGCGTCCCTGCTATCGCGCCCGCCATTGGATTCAGCTGTATCTCATTCGCAATAAGAAGCCGCAGGAAGAACAGCCACAGCCACAGCCATACCCGCACACAGAAATGGCAGATCAACCGTACCCACCAGAGCCGGAAATGCAGTATTTCGATCCGGACGCAAAAACGAAGATGACACAAGTAGAGGATCGTTCCAATATTTATGCGGATGCCGCCAATCAAGTGCAACGGACGCCATCGACCAGAGTAATGGGTGAGTAAACCATTTGTAGTCCCGCATCAATATTGAGCCTTCAAAACTTTTGTAGATGTTTTTAGGCGATACCTACAAGATCGACTAGCTGAAGACTAAGTTCTAAGTTCCAAGTTATAAGCTATTGGGTATACTAGCAATTGATTTGTTCCAGAGTAAGGAAGCGCCGCGAAATGTGAGAGAAGGCAAATTCTGGATACACAAAATATACACAAAGAAATACACTGAAGGAACTATAAAACACAGTCCCACCATCAGTTACTTTGTCATCAAGAACTAGTGGTGCAAACTTTTTTTTACACAGAGGTCAACCAAGCTAGTGTAATAATAAATTTAAATATTGAAATAATTTTTGTTTTCTTTGCTCCAAAATATTATTCACACGGACATTAACACCAGCCACTTCCTTATATCATGGAAATGAAGCCATTGTCAGAGCTGGTAATTCCTTCAAGTACTTTGAACGGAGGGAACCTTTCAATTATTTTTGCGAGAACTTTTAACTGATTCACGACTTGATGGCTCCTCAATGCTGAAGGCACCCGAAATTCTGGTATCTCGGATCTCGAAAATTGTAGATCGGCGTGTAAGTGTTAGTTGGAGCGAAGGGGGGTAGGTCTGTGATAGGCATCTTCACAAGATGCCAAAGCAAAAGAAAAACAAAAAGCCACAAAACAGAAGTTGCGCATGCGCATGATGATTTAATTGAGGCATTGAGAGAGACGCCGCAGCGTGTCCAAAGGCAAACCAAATGAAATGAAGTGTATAATGTTTTGCCTAACTGAACAATTGCAGTAAGGCCTGAAGGGCAACTAGAGGGTGGGGCATGGCATGGGCATGGGCATGCCTCTAAGGTTGTCTAAGGTCGAGCCATGTTCTCTGATAACTGCAACTGCAGCAGCTGCTTCTCGTATAATTATATAGAGATAAGCATAAGGAACATTTGCATAGCAGCACACCAACCAGCAGCAGCTGGCATAGAACTTAGAACTAGGCAAACAATTGCATAATTACAATATTCCTAACACAAAGCAATGATAGTTCTTGCTTTTTCGGCATTTGTTTTGCCATTGGCATGTGGGCGTTGTAAGCTTTTGTCTTTTTTAGAAAATTAATTAAAATAATCTGTTATTATGCTGACACTCTTTCACAGCGCAAAGCTCTTGAGAAATCCATATTTATAGAGAGTGATTTCAAAACCCACAAAAGCCGCAGACTTAATGGCATCGCAACACGAAACATTTTGCCGACACTCAGTGGAAGAGTGGAAGAGAAGTTCTGCTTATCTGTGATTTTCTATTGGATTGAATATTTATGAAGCTCATTTAATTAGAAAGATGACATTATTACAGTGTGCATGCCACGTAAATTTACAGTTCGGCAGTTGGTCCTAAAAGTCTTCAAAGAACAGTGGGAAAGTTACCAATCGCCGACAAACTTGTTCTACACTTAGAACCGAAACGAGTTTTCTGTTCAAGTCTTTTGTGTTTCTTTTATTTGCTATTCTTTGGCTTTGGCTACGCTTTTGGTTGCGTGTTTGATATTTTCATTTACTCTTATAAATTGCATAATCTTGAATGATTTGATGTGTATTAATTTAACGTCTCTGTGTGTGCCTATTGTGTTGTGGCTTTTGCCAGTGACACAGATTTATTTATAAAACTTTTGTTCTGAAGCCGGTCTCTGGGCCAGAGAAATGGGTGTGAAAGACTGGGGTGATATAATAGCCCAAATTGGCCATGAATTCAATATCATCCCCAATTAATTGTGAAGAGATTTATCTGGAGCAAAACCAATTTATATAATATATTGTATAATTTCTGTAGAAGCATTGACAATTGGTGCAGCTTTAGTTAATGATTGTTGTTGTTGTTGTTGGCCCCCTGTTGAGGCAACATGTTAGGAAATTGTCTACGCACCCATTGACCGAAGACAAAACGTTCGGAGCCCTAAAAGAAATTACCAATTGCATGGGGATCGATGAATGGGATGGTATGGGGATGGATGGTTCGCTGCTTCGGATGTTAACTCTTACATGTGTACTCAATTTGAGGGTCTCTTTCTCTTTGTCGTTTTTCCTTTGGCAATTAAATAAAACATGTTGAAATTTTGCAATGGATACTCTCGTATGTACTGCTGACTGGCTTCTCCTTCTCCTGCTGCTGCCGCTGCTTATATAACCATATGTAAATTATCCCAGCAAATGAAGAAGAAATATGGCTGAGATCATGCGCTTTGCAAGGAACACACCTTAAAAAAGCGATGGAAAAAAGGGAACTACTGCCAGTCCCGTCCCATGTCCGTGCTACTGTCCATTCCAGGCAAAGTTTGAAGTCAGAGAGTCAGGCCCCAAAGAGACCCCAAAGCCTCTGCCATAGCTGGACTGCAATTGAAGCCCAGCCATAGCCATTGACAAGATAATTTCCTGGGGGTGCTCCATGTAATGGCCAGTAAATCCTACATTAAATACCCTTTCATACAAGGAACTCTTAGTCATACAAAGAAACTATTAATTTGGAAATTAAATTAATGCAGACTTTCTTTGCATCTAACATTCTCTTAGGCATTCAAAATACACTTTAACTTTGGGTTAGAGCATTCAAATATCGTTAGGGCCAGTCGACAACCTTCCTTCCTGCTTCTCCCTGTAGTTCGTCTTCGTTTTACAAATTGTACGAGCAAAAAAAATGGCAAAGAAAAGAAAAACCTTTGGCCACGACTCGGGCCAGCAGAAAACGGCTCACAGAAATTGGCTAGTTTCGCAGACCGCGTTAACTTGACTGACTACCAATTGTTGTTGCCACGACTGTTGGATCGGAGTGCTGGATGCTGGATGTTGGATGTTGGGATACTGGATGGATGCCGGGGCTACTCCACGAATTATTTCAAACACAAACTGCCGCCAACAACCCAAGAAGGTTCATAATTATTAAGCGAACGTTTGTGGCTGCTGCTGCTGCCGCTGTTGCTGCTGGTGGGCTGTGGCTTCTTGAAATGTTGCAACTTGCAACCGTTTGAGCGATGACTACAGGAACTGCAACAGCAGCAGCTCCAGCTCCAGCTTCATCGTTGGTTTTCAGGGCAAGAGTGCAAAGTGGCGGGTTAAATAGGTTTTGACTACTCGACAGACAGTTAAAAGCTGCAATGGCAATTGCATTTGTTTCGGTTATGAAGATTAACGATGGTCAAATGAGGCATGGCATTCGCTTTTGGCTCCTGTAAAATAAAGACGCCCCTGACTTTCCAACAGACATTATTTTTTGATAATTAACCAACCTATTTTTGTATGCAGCCGCAGCCACAGCAACCCCCATAACAAATTCATCTTTTTTGGATCGGAACCATAATTAGATTCGTTGGTCAATTGGATTAATTAATTTACGATATTTCCGTGATCATGTGATTAATTATAATCTGTTGATGAATGTATTTTTAATCGAACCATACAGGAAAGAGCATAAATTATGCAATAAATTTAAAGAACTCCACAAATACATCTCCTAGCCCACATTTGAACATTAAATTAAACCATTTAATCTTCTTCATTTTATTTACACAACAAATCAGCCACAAGCAAATGAATCAAAATATTTGTAACACATTTTATTGTTATGCCTTTAATTCGCAAAGTGTTGAAAGTTGACCACAAAATTAACTTTTAAGGGCAGACCCCCGAAAATATCATCACCCAAACACTACCAGTCGGTGGCTAATTTGTCTACCAAGGAAACCACATGAATCCGAGTATGTTCGAGTGAATGCGAGTGTGGATGATATGAATAAACATGGCGGGGAGGCAGACACGAGTGTAATGTAAGGCTTGCATAACCCTCATTTGTGAGTGGCTTATGGAGAGGCTCGCGTGCTCCCGTGCCCAGGTTTTTCGGTGGCTGCGGCGGCGGCGTGATATCGTGTACGCTGATATAACCATACAGATAGATAGGAAAACAGGTAGGGAACAGGTAAATACGAATGTATGTATGCATTAAGATTGAACTGAAAACGTGTGTGCACTCCTCTGGCTCTGACAGTAAATGAAACCCATCTCCAGTCAAAACTTCCATTTTTGGTGGCAGTGATGATTTTTCATCCATCGTCAGTCGAATAAAGTTGTAACATTTTTATGACAACGATTGACCTTTTTGTGTGCGGCATGAATGGATGGGATGATGATCGAGCACAGAGAGGAAGTGGCTTTAGCTTTAGCTGTGGAGTGGCCAGGAAATGATTAATGGGCTATTGATGCATTCGAATGCGGAATAATTGATAGAAGGTTAGCCTCCAAAAACTCCCAACAAATTTATCTCAGTCCCATCATCACACTTTTGGCCAACAGCAAGCACACAAATCAAACTGAGAAAAGCCAGCTCAACAGAGAGAAAAAGAAAACTCCAGCCACCCCACCAATTATGTGATGTGGCAATGGAACAATAATTCTTCCTAGCCATTATTTCTACGGTTGGCAACAGCCAAACAAGAGCTACCGAAACTGCAGGGCGTCGTCGCCGTCGTCGTCGTCAAAAGGCAAAAGTTGAAGCAATCCGATCCGAAACGACCCAAAGAGATCCCCAGGTGAAGCAAACGTTTGCAGCAATTTCAGATCAATTATATGAAGGCGCTTCCATTGTTCGGCTCACGATTTATTCATTTTTTTTTTTTTTTTTGTTGGTGCGCTGCTATTTATTATGGCCAAAAAGAAGACAACAATTATGAGAAATGGATTTGCATTTTTTCCGTCAGGACACAGAAATATTTTAAATTTTGAAGGCACTTTCATTTACTTAGCAAAATTTGGAGCAACTGATTTTTGTACTACTTTAAATTTCTATCTTTTTAGCAAAAAAAAAAAAACAATTAAATAAAAATAAAAACTAATTCTATTCATCACGCTTGGATAATTCCTCCACAAGCTTGGCACTTTGGGCCTTGATCTGTTTGCGATTGGGTACATTGGCCATCGTTTTGTTCTCCTGCAGCAGATCCTCCTCGGGCACGGCCTGTTGCTGCTCATCATTATCAATGGGCTCGAACATATCGAGGCTGGCAAGGAAATCGGCATGATATTCCTCAACATTACGCTTGATGGTGGTAGGGCGTAGCTCCACAGTGTAGCCCTTCATTAATTTATAGACCTTACGCTTCACCATGTGCATGATGTTGTCGACTGTAAGGAGTTCGTATAGAATAGAATTTAGCTAATGTTATTCTTCACTCAACTGTTCTCCTCGTAGAGCTCTGGTGCTGCGGCCCTCATGTTGAGCATTTCAAATTTAAGCAGCGGCAACTTCAAGTAGGAATTGGGATACTGTGCACGAATCAATTTGGGCTGACGATCCACATGACGCA